CGATCCGTTGCCAGACACGGAAAAAGACAAAAAAAAAAAAAAAAAAAAAAGATCAACTCATCTGACTTCTTTCAAGGCCAGGAGCTCACCGCCTTCAAGGGCACTGCTAACCAGCTCCCTCCTTCCTGCTCTGTCTGCCCTGGCTGCATTGTAGTTTAGAGTGATCTGGGGATCAGCCATGCTTTGGGGAGAGGCCAGTTCTCCCTTGTAGGACTGGCCAGGAGTAAAGACAAAGGGACTGAGCAGAGGACGGGGATCTGCTCTATTTATACCTTACCTTGGAGGAGGGCATGTTGGCAGCCTGAGGCTCTGGATGCTGCTCAGAAGCCTGATATGGAGTAGGGGGTGGGATCTGTTCACTAAAGGAAGGGCGGAGAGAAGAGAATGAGCATCTATTATTTCCTTCTGTATACCAGGCCCCTGTTATGCACTATCTCATAATGTAAATATAGTATGATGGTCAAGAGATTGAGTTCCGGAATCAAGAGAGGTGGGATAGAATTCCAGCTTCCCCAGTTTCTGGCTGCGTGCCATTCAGCAAGCCATTTACCCAGCCAAGCCCCCATTTGTTCACCTGTAAAGTGTGAGTAATGAAAGCACCTTCCTGCAAGAGCTGCCACAAGGATTACATGAGATCCCATATCTAAAGCAGGTGCCTGCCCCACGAGGATGTCCCCATAAACGTTAGCTCCTTCTATTATTAACGACCATAGGATGCAGAATTCATGCTCTTATTTTTGGTAGACATAGCAGCCGAGGTTCTGAGACATGAAGAAACGTGCCCAAGGCCACCGAGTTAGATGGAGATTGAGTTCCGGAATCAAGAGAGGTGGGATAGAATTCCAGCTTCCCCAGTTTCTGGCTGTGTGCCATTCAGCAAGCCATTTACCCAGCCAAGCCCCCATTTGTTCACCTGTAAAGTGTGAGTAATCAAAGCACCTTCCTGCAAGAGCTGCCACAAGGATTACATGAGATCCCATATCTAAAGCAGGTGCCTGCCCCACGAGGATGTCCCCGTAAACGTTAGCTCCTTCTATTATTAACGACCATAGGATGCAGAATTCATGCTCTTATTTTTGGTAGACTTAGCAGCCGAGGTTCTGAGACATGAAGAAACATGCCCAAGGCCACCGAGTTAGATCGGGGCCTAGGCTTGCCAGGCTCCGAAGCTCAGGCCCTTCTCAGACATCCTCTGGCCTCCACGGGGGAAGATCAGTGAGCCCAGGGCTACGAGGTGCAGCCTGCCCAACTAGGTGGGCAGGGGCGGGGAGCCACAGCTGCCAAGCCCCTGACAGCTAACATAGCTGGGCAGGGGCCTCTCCTT